CTGATAATATTATAGTGAAAGAGAACATCATTGAGAACAATCGAATGTATCTTAGATTAACATTACAGAATGTCTTAGTAAAATCTACGAACTATAAAGTAAATATTTCATATGTAAAATGTCAATTAATCGTCTCAGACTTTATTATTCCTTCGTTTCCACACCAATCATTCTTTGTCCCCGTTCTCTTTTCTACGATCTACTTAACCTTCTACCATCAGGTATTTCACTTTTGATTGATGATACATACTACTTATATCTGTTGTTACCAGTAGTACACACTACAATATAAGTCATTTCATATTTTATATAATAAACTGACCTTAGTTAAATATATAATGAAAACCAAGAAGCATTGTATAATTGTTTCATTCTAGTATGTAACGTCTGAAATGTAAATATGTACGATTTTATAAGAGGTCAGATTTATGACTTTCATTTCTTATACCACTACTCTTATTTTCTAAACCACAGGTTAAAAGTCAACAATAACCAGGATAAGCTAGGAATCATATGTGGAGAAATTAGAGCACTTCACTTCTATCTAAAGTTTAGGCTGATGATGTCGTTTAGAATAATAATGAAAGCTCCACAACCAAACCATTCAGACCAGAGGATAAAATCTCTAAACCATTGATTTGAGATTTGATGGTTTTTATGTATAACTTCAGTTATCTTACTATATTTCTCAATTATTTTGTAATGACGTTGGTAAGCAAATGTCTCATTATGTAAAGCGTGTAACTTAACAATATTCAAGAACCGTGTATACTAATAACTTGTTCATTTATTTGTGAAACTTAAGTTCACAACAAGAATATTAACCAATAAATCATTGAAAATCAAAAGCGTACTGAAGATTTTCCGGTTTACATAACCTTACGTGTTTTTGATGAAATCTTATTCTCTAAGATGGATGAATTAGTCTAACTCATCATCTATCTAAGCTAGAAATCTTCTCCTGAACCTCTTAATCTCACATATAGCTGAACTTTACATACCTTTAAACTTTTTGGGTCGAACTATATTGGTTCACATTTCGAACTTCAATCTATTTACAAAATCTGCGAAATCTATTTCACTTCTGATATAACTAAATTCACATATTTTCATCCGGTTGAACAAAACTGAATTTTTTACAATTTATAGCAGAAGGGTTTTTTTGTGTGGATATTATGGTAATCTCCATGGTTGAGATCATGGGTCAATTTCAGCTAGACCACCATGGAAAACGTGAAAGCACTGGACGGCCGTTTCGTCCTGTTATGGGACTCCTAAGCAGTGCGCATCCAAGATCCCGCACTGCTGAGAAGTCCCACAACAGGACGAAACGGCAGTCCAGTGCTTCCAGGTTGTACAATTTACTTAACCTATCTAGTACTTGACAATATGTTTTTAACGTCTTCTATCGTATTTGCTTTATATTATTTTTGCACTGTGTAACTGTTTATTTGGGAAATTGTAGTATGGGAAAAACGTTAGTACAGAAAGATTGTGATTATAGTGTTAAGATGAAAAACGTTTTTAGCATAGTAGCAATGTAGTGAACACGAACACCAATGGAGACATTCGAGTGTATTTAGGCGCATAATTACAGAGCATCTCAATAAAATCTGAGAACCATATATTAAATCGTTAATTTGCAAAATATCAATCCATTGTCTCAAATTTCATTGTTCATGAGTTTTCATACCAATTGCGTTTCGTTCCCGTTCTTCCCTCATCGACCTTCTACTGAAATACATTCTATGCCTGACCACCGTCATATACTACTTGTGTGGATATAAGTAACCCACATCACAGTAGGAGAGTTTCCCAGGTGCTACATTTTTTGAGCTAAATAGTATCCATAATCCCTCAGAAAATTGAACGTAAGACTATAAATTCTTGTACCTCAGGAAGATAGTTTTCTAAATTTGGTTTCTCTGTGCGGATTGGTTTTATAATTAAACTTTGATCGTCTTTTCAAATAACTTAGATCAATCAGAAATCAATAAAGATACTAGAATTGGTCCAAATCATCAATTCCTTACAAAAATCATGCACAAATATAAGATCAAGAATCAGATCCAAAGGTGAAATAGTCAAAATAAACATGCAAACAATAGCAAGATAATGATCAGTAGTAACCAATTATGATCTAAGTTAACAGAAAAACCTGTTAGTCATTTTGTAGTTCAGTTCTGTTTAATGTTCATTCTGATGATATTGTCTAGAAAGACAATGAATTTTTAACGACTAAACTAGCTAACTTCAAGAATGTAAAACCTGTAATTCCTTGAATTTTCATGATGAGCGCGTTATCTCTAAGAATTCATATAGGATCATATCTAGTCCATCAAAAACAAATAGAACATTCCAAATAAATTACCTAGATCTTATGTACACAAAATGAAACGACAATACTTTCATAGACATTCACCGTGCAACTCAGAATACTTACTGAATAATTTATTTTATTTTAACACATAGATATTGGTACAAGGAGGCACCAAATACATATGCGCCACACAAATCTCATTTGATTTGTGTGAGGGCTGTGATAATGTCCGGGTGCTCAAACCGTAGCAGGTAGTTTTCTTAGGGAGCCACACCCCGAGCCTTCGACCTGAAGATCTGATCCACAAGGCAGTGGAGCATCGTGAGGAGTTGCAGTCCCATGGTAGCCGGTGACCAACGACTGGTTCATACGCCATTTGTTCGTTCAGCATCCTGGAGCCTATGTGCACCATTGATTTGGGATCCGGTTAAAGCCGGTGGCGGACATTCTCTTTTCGTCCTCTCATTTTCGTAAACAACACCCGTGATGCGAGAAGTCAGTGAGTAGGACTTCCCTGTCAGAGGCTATATACACGTGGCCATGTGAGAGCATTTGGAGAGGGAAAGCGGACTCTCCCCACTCTCGGTCGTACCAGGGCATTTGGGGGGCACTTACTGAATAAACTTATAAATTAATAAATCTGAAGGGTGCTTAAGATAAATAAGAAACATATATTTTACCCCAGAAAGATAGTTACATCTCAGAAGGTATTAATCTGTGTTGAAATATAACAGTTTCGTAATAATAGAAACAAATATTTCACTACATGGTACTTGATAACATAATGAATAAACGATAAAAAACAGTAAAACTTCCTGTTATAACACATACTACTTATTAGTAGTCAGATGTTTATAAGCCAATTTACGTAATTCTTTAATACAGTTCTAAATGATCAATTAGCATGAAAACCTGGGCCCAATTTACATCCTAGAAATTGTATTTGCAACCTGTAAAAAAATAATAACTCCTCTGATGATTCTATTTGTATTTGAGTTATTTTGAGCATGGCTGATATACGGATGGGTGATGAATCCCTTCCTTCATGCATTAATATTTAGGGAATGAGGAAAGTGGTCAATTATTTTTTCATTACAATACAATACAAATGAATACGTTATCTTTATGTCATACAAATAGATGGAACCAAAAGACTATTGAATAACAGATATTGATCACCCAATATTAAAGATAAAATCTAGAGATTTCTGGTAACCAGCCTAAAGAATAAGAATGAATTTCTATATTGAAACGCTTTCATTAAAGTAAGTGGTTAAATACTAACATACTTAACTGATCAGTGCACATCTCCTATCCTTCTTCATTTTCTGGCTATTCATTTTATTTAATGCCTCATCCGATATAATTAAGATTAAAGCCTTCTATCTTAGGGACTGATGATGACATTACCTGGATCCAATCCTATATGAACTACATGGTTCAAGCTAAGTAGAAGGAAGTCTTTTGGTTGTTTCATGCTTGTTAGTAAAGTACGACTTCTTGTTGTGTGTGAGCTCAACTTTCCGATGAGACATAGTAAATATTCCTGAGCAGTAGAGTAAATTCTAAGGATTCGTGTAAGATGTTGGATCACTTAATGTAGTGAACGCAAACAGGATATATAGAAGTCGGTTAATACTGAGAAATAAACGCTACTTAGTATTATTCTTTTGGGACGGTCTAATGAAGCAAAATGAAAGACGTTTTACTCTTTGGTCATCTTAGTTTCATCTTTAATTCTACTTTCTATGCTTAACTATTCAATACAGTCAGTATAGACTTGGACCCCTTACCACTCATCATGTTATTTCTTCATTATTTTGGTGATGTTAAATAGGATTACTTTGGTTGACAAAACTTTTCGTTACGTTTAAAGTTGTTTATAATTGATTGATACATATTATTTACTCCCTTACACTTGTTACCTCTCTTCGAAGAGCATAGGCCGCATACCAGCATTCTCCATTCAACTCTGTCCTGGGCAATCCTTTCCAGTTGCTATTCATCCTTTCAATGTTTGTTTCCAATTCCTAACACAGTGTTTTCTTTGACTTTCCTCTCTTTTGTTTCTTTTCAGCATTCCAAGTTAGTGTTTACTTCGTGATGCAGTGTTATGATTTCTTTAATGCATGTCCTATCCACTTCCAACATTTTTTCCTACTCTCCTTTTAAAGAAGAAACCAATTTGATGGAGTTTTATTCTCTGACCAAACCATCCAGCTCAGAGAATAAAACTCCATCAAAATCATCCACCTGAGCTACAAATCTTCTCCACCATCTCAAAAAACCAATTTGTTCTGTCCTACAATAAGTTGTTGTTGATGGTATTCAACCAACGGAAATTGATTATCTTTCATAGGTAAGACTAATACACATACAACTATTCATTTATAATGAGAAATTTAATTAATTAATTAATAAGTAGTTTGTAACATTCATCATAAATAAATTGTTGATCGATCAAAACTGATCATATTTGAATCTAGATCTATATCGATTCTATCCGTATAAATGGTTGTAATATTATATATAATTTAACAATAATAATAATAATAATTAAGATTAAACCAGAACGTATTTCCAATGAACTAATCTCATCGTTTCATTGAAATATTCATTGAAGGGAACTAAATTCTATTCACCAAAAAAAAAAGAAAGAAAGAAAGAAAGAAAAAAGAAAATGTCACACAATTCTAACCGAAATAGCTACGAATCACTTGGTCTAACTAAAAAACAATTCAATCTTAATCGTCATTTAAATTCGGATAATATGAAGTCTATATTATATTATAATGATTTTAATATACCTTTTCATTATATTCAATGTACAAAATGTAATTGTAAACATTTAGTTAAACCAAATAATTATACTACTAACAATTTAATGAGTAGTATATTAGAAGAAAAAGAAGAAGAACAACAACAACAATATAAAGATTATTCTAATGATAAACCAATATTCAATATGGAATGTTCTTGTAATATGATCAACTTAAATACAATGAAATCAAATCAATCTGGTTACAAAGCGCAATATACAAATGATTCAATAAACTGTTGTCATTCATATTATCCATTGTGTAATTATTACAAGGAACAAATGAATAATTATAGATGTGTACATTGTTCATGTCAATGTTGTATTCAATCAAAATTGACTAGTTCAATGCATCCATTATGTAGTAGTTGTTTCTATTGTCAAAAATTTTATGAATGATGTAATTATGGTTACTGGGTAGGATTAATATATATATACATGAAATGCATATTCGTTTATGAATAACATTTAAAAGTGACTTTTATGTTTTTGGTACTTGAAAAATTCATTTTAAGTTATTCTGCAATAAAATTTGCTTTGAATTTATATGACTTTATTGAATTATATGGTATTTGTTTATTTGGTGTAAGGAGGCATCAAATAGATATGCGAGACAGAAATCATTCGATTTATCTGAGGGCTGGGATATTTCCCGGATGTCCAAACAGAAGTAGATGGTTTTCTTACGGGTAACCACATTCCGAATGTTTTACCTAAAAGGTTTCATCCACAAGGCAGTGGAGCAAAGTTAGGAGATGTAGTTTCATGGTAGCCAGTGACAAACAATAAGTTCATACGGCATTTGTTCATTCAGGATACTGCAACTCATGTGCACCATTGGTTTGGAATCAGCGTTTTCCAACTCTCCTAGGTGGATTCTCCATATCCACTGACCCGGTTAAAGCGCCGGATATTCGCTTTTCGTGCTCTCAATTTCGGTAAATAACACTCCCGCCATGAGAAGGCAGTCAGTAGGACTTCCGTGGCAGAGGCTATATACGCGTGGCCATGTGAGAGCATTTGGAGAGAGAGTTGACTCTCCCCACTCTCGGTCTTACAAGGGCATTTGGGAGCGAATTATACACTACTTAGTCTAGACTTAAACTATACTGAGACATTGGAGGTAAAGAACTATTTGAAGCGATTGAGATTCAGTAAAATCTCACAAGGAATAGAAATCAAAACCTAATATTTGTTTCCTAGTATTGTATTATTCAAATTATATCTCTTATTTATGATGTCTTATAGTGAAACTCAGGATAATCACTTATTCATTCTATGTAAATGCTATGATGGTTGAATCAATGTGACTGAAATAATTGAATGGAAATTTGCTTAGAAGTAAAACCACGTATCTTCAGTCGGTCAGCTGCAGCATAGGACCAGGCACATATGCATCGGTCCTGGTCGCCAGACCTCATTAGCACAAGAAGATGAACACAAAATTCAAGGAAGTTACTCCAATGGTAATTATATTTAAAGGAAAGATTGTGTATAACGATATAATATAGGAAGAAAGAATTGAAAAGGGAAGACAGAGTGTATACACCGACGCCACTGCGATCGATTGGGAGCCATGACACACAGTCTCCAACCATTGGTTACGATAGTCACACAGACCCCAACCAAGTAATCTGCATCTACCAACATGGTTCACACTAGAAGTTAGTGTCTTTAAGCACTGATGCCACGTTTTGGTTTGGCCACCCCTAACTTTCTTCCAATCATCCACAACACCAGTTAGCGTTGCACGTCGTGGTAATCGGCGTTCAGGGATACCTAACACGTGGCCCAAACATCTCAATCGATGAAGATTTACGACCTCACCAACTGATTTATCATCATCCTCTAATAACCTGCGTCTAACCTCACAATTACTTACCCGGTGATCCCAGCAGATGAGAGCAATATTTCAAAGACATCTGTGGTCAAATACTAGTAGCTTACCAGTAGTTTCAACTCTTAATGGCCGAGTCTCTCAGCCGTAAAGGAAAAGAGAACGAACTGCCGCGCATTATACTCGTCCCTAAATTCATAGACGCATATTTTGCCTTCGCCATAGGTGACTTAAGTTGGCAGAAGCCAAACGAGCTTTTCGAATCCCTACTGAGATTTCGTCAGACATCAACCCATTAAGACTGATCAGACTTCCAAAATAAGTGAAGTTGTCAACGCGTTCGACTACTTCACTCCCTATCCTTAGTTCCGGTGTTGACACAGACCAATCCTAAAGCAACAACTTGCATTTAGAGGGAGAGAAGTGCATTACAAACATTCTGGCATTGTTGCTCAGTGCTACAAAACACTATGCATTTTATCAGCGTCTTCACCAAACAGGACTATATCATCTGCGTGTTCTAAGTCGATAAGTGGACCTCACGGTAGGAGATTAATGCCCGAAAATTCGGTTGACGAGAACGTTACCTCCATCAGTAGGTCTATGATGAAGTTAAACAAAAATGGAGAAAGTGGGCAGCATTGACGGACACCACTTGAGGTTGCGAAATCAAATGAAAGTTCGCCATAAGCTCTCACTCGACTAGTAGTGTTCGAGTAAAGAGCCTTTACAAGGTTTATGTACTTATGAGGTACGCCTTTCAATGACAAACACTCACAGAATCTCAGGGTCTACGGAGTCAAGTGCTGCTTTTAAGTCAACAAAGACCACCATCGTCGGACGCCAATAAGTATGCCTGTGTTCTAGAACCTAACGAATGGTGAATATGTGGTCCATGCATCCACGACCAGGTCTGAAACCAGCTTGATTCTCTCGTGTTTGCAATTCACGAGTCTTATTTAGGCGTCCGATACTTATCAAGGCTAGTATTTTAGATGCTATATTAGTTAAACTAATCCCTCTATGGTTGTCACAGGATGATTTTGACTCTTTCTTATATACTGCGATATCCAGTGATTGTGACCAGTCACATGGGATTACGTCCAACTCCCAGATTTTACCTCAAATATTAGTCAACCTAATCGCTAAAATTGCACCACCATACTTAAACACCTTTGGAGCCAATCTATCTAGACCAGCTTCCCTTCATCGTTTCAGATTAATTATAGCCTTTTCAACTTCAGCTAGAGTTGGGGGAACTACTTCAATGTTCCATTCACACTGTCTGGGAATGGAGGGTAGTTGTAGAGTAGCTGAAGGCCAGATGAACTGTTCTCTAAAATGTTCCGCGCATCGTTCGAAATGTCTGGACTAGGAGCAGATGAGAGTGTCATCTTTTTCCAAAATAGTCTCACTAACACTTCACTTATTAATTCCAGTTTCTTTTATTTGTCTGTAGAGCTGTCTTGTCTTCCCTAGAGCAGCCGCCTTTTCCATATCTTTTGATTTCGTTGCCAACCACTGCTCACAGTCGTTCCTTAGACTTTTCCTTAACCTAGATCTGATTTCTTTACGCCCTTCATCGTGTTCGGAGCTTGATGGGATGAGTTTACGAGAACCCATCAGTCCGATACACCTTGAAGAAATCCATTGGTTCTTTGTAACCATGTGGTTTAAATCACGAATAGATGTCACCGCTGTTTCCACAGCTGCTTGTATATCTTTCCAATCAACATCGGGGTCAGCCTCGTTTTCAGAACTACTTAAGTGTCACCTCAGTTGTTCACGGAACCTACTTTTGCTTTTCTCGTTACTCGATGCAGTTCTAATGAGTCTTTTTAGTGTGGCTTTTTTGAGTCCAGTAAGGCGCAAGCAGATGCCTGCCCGTATTAAGGCATGGTCGGAGTCCAAGCAGGTACTCCAGAACGAACGACAGTCTTCTATCGACCCTCTCCAACGATGACCGATCGCAATATCGTCCATTTGACTCCATCGTTGGTTTGGTGCAGGGGTCGTCATGTTAGACGATGTCTCTCTTTATGCTTAAAATTTGTGTTTGCTAAAAATAAACGATTGTCTGAGCACAGTTGCAGCAGACGATCACCATTATCTGTTCGCTGTGCCGGAATACTAAAATACCCACCTAAATGCCTTTCTGTTTGGTTTAAGCTACCTATATGGGCATTAAAGTCACCTCATACAAGTACTATGTCTGGACATTTAGCTCTATGAACTTTTTCAGAAAGCTTTCTGTAAAATTCATCTTTCACTTCATCCGAACTGCAGTCAGTGGGAGCGTAGGTAGAAACAACAAAAAGGCAACGACGTGTGTTCCTATCCTTCTGAGTTCTTACGGAGCCGTTTAGCCGAACAGCACATAAACGAATGTTAACGGGGATCTACTCTAACAGTGTTTGCTCCAATCTCATGCTTAGTGCTATGCCTACACCTGCCTGTTCACGAGAACTGGCCATCAGGTCGCCAGATAAACTGAGGGTGTATCTCGTCGGCTCTCCGTTTTGCCGAGGTGAGTTAAAGTGAATGACCACACTAGGATCGTGTATGCGTTTGAGAGACACAGCATACATCAATTGTACGAGATTCTATGGTTTTAGCCAAGGGGTTAACATATTTCGAAAATAACAGATAGTTTTCGACTGATTAAATATTAAAATGTGTACTAGAGCTATAAAACTCAGATACTAAAACAGCGTGTCTAGGAGTTAACTGTTAGCTAACTAATGAATAATCAGTGAAGAGAATGAAGGTCACAAAACGACTAGTGGCTTTTAGATGGGCCTTCAACACAGAAGAAAAAACCTCAGGGAGTTAAATGGTGTCGAGTTCGAATTGGACTCAGATTAACTGCTCCCAAGGAATATAAATTCCTTTGATGAATCTCCACTTTCACATCCAAAGAAACTACAAAATTTCCAAGTACTGTTCAAACTACTTTTTGATAGTAAGTAGTAAAAAGCCATTTTGAAAATTAGAGGAGTGCATATAAAGTGACATCGTTTCCCATTAGTTTGTAACTAGGCCTTACCCTAATTTCAAAACATGGGAAGAAAGTAGAGATTTAAGTAAAAACTAATAAAATTACATAATATAAATTGTTCAATTAGTTAAGTAGTGAAAAATATGTATGAAAGAGGGTGCAGAAAAACAAACGAACAACGAATTCTTGACCGTTTACATATTTGTTAATGTCTGAGAATAGGGACAAACTACAAGGCCATATTAACTGTGTACTATTATTGAAAAGAAATCCCTTCAAACTAAGTAAGAAACTATAGTGTTTTCACCCTTATTTTATCATAATAACGTATTTATTTGATGTAAACTATTTAAAGTTATCCATTGACGTCATCACTACAAGATATATCTCATGGTACAGTCCCAATACATGTCCCTTGGGACAGTTTTTTCATCAATGCGGACAATCGAATATATTTGACAACAAATTACAGCACTTGTTAATAAAATCTAACAACCATATAGTGAATCGTTAATTTGCAAAATATCAATGCATTATATCAAACTGGACTGTTCCTGTTGCAAGCATCAATCGATTGTCTGACATTTCATTGTTCATGAGTTTCCATACAAACTGTATTGTGTTCTCGCTTTTCCTTTTTTGATCTTCCGCTACCTTCTGCTGCCAGACATTACGTTTAAAACTCGCGTCATATACTACTTATTATATCAATATAAGTAGCGCGCATTACAGTATCTTAATTATTTCAGTGAAGTCTCAAAATATGTTGTGAAATAAGAGTCACGATTTGTGTAGACAATCTTCTAAACAAGAATTTTCGGCTTCCACTTCATGAATCATATAGAGATTTATAAGTACACATTTAAAAGATGACATTCGTAGGTTACTAGTATTTAGTTGGAGATGAATTAGAAACACTGTTAATGTATGTTGGAATACGTTTACATATGCCTAACCACCACTAAAATCAAATAGCGTTGTTGTTTGATACAGGATTAGGGCAGAAGAGAGCTAAGGGAAAACGAAACAAAATATGGCATGAGTCCATGAATTCCGTGAATATTAGACTAAACCACGTAGGCAGGTGCAGACTAACTGGTTTGGGTCCACGAGACGATAACAACCGATGATTAGACACCTTGACTGACATGACTCAAAATCGTTTGCAATGGCTCAGGTGCATTCACTCTTTGTGGTCACCCCAATTCTAATCTTCTGAATTCTTCGTATCCCTTTTTTTCTCTTTGCAAACTTATTTCACTGGATTATAATCATTGAATAACATCTTCAAACCCTAATCTTTCCGATTACTGTCTATACTTTTACTACCTCTACCACTATGGGATTTAAGTCGACAATTATATCTCTGTGCTAATGTGGTATAGAAACTTGAACGGATGTACGTACGTAAGAAGTTCTACGTTGTTGCCCACGTGATTATTATAACTATTAACTAGATACTTTAGATTATCTGTCTCAGAATCGGTCACAATAGTGTAGATGTATTCACTCTGCTTCTTCTTCTTTCCTTACATTATTGCTTCTCAAATCATATTGTTTATGATTAGTCTTGTTTACTACTACGATTGTAGTTTCTATCTTGATAATTCTACCTTAGTATGCTGATATTGTATGAAAACTTAAACTGATATACATATATAACTGACTGATAATTATAATTAGTAACCTCCAAGTTGTATCTATTTTTGCAGCAATTTGGAAAACTCTCCCGGTTTCCCAAATTGTACATGCATTCCATATACCTAAATAAATGGTTTCTCTGGTTGTTAGAAGGAGCATCAGCCTTGTGACTTCCGAAAGAATTCGGCTTTCACCATAAGGTGTCCTAACTCTTCCAAATGAAGATCTTCTAACTCCCAGAGCAAAGTTTAAATAGTTTGAATTATTTTTTTCTGGTTAGCGTTTTTATTTTAGCAAGTTTAATTTTCGACTGGATAATGTCGTTAATCTCATGCCTAACCCTCCTACTTTATCCGGGCTTGGGACAGGCAGTAACACCCGGAGGGGGGCTCCAGGCGGAGTTATAATTAGTAACCAGTTGTAAATAAATTAAATAAACAAATTCAAGGCAATACTTCATTACAATAAATTATTCTACAAACAAACAAACAAACAAAAATAAACACAACAAAAATTCATATATCTATATTTTTATTTTTCAAAAGAAAAAAAAAATCAGTTTATTTTACAATAGACAAATCTTACTTAGTAATAACAATAATTATTCCCAAGCAGGTATTAATGATGATGAAATATTCCACCAAAAATTCACTGAATAACTAGCTGTTAATGAACGTACATAATGCCAACAACGTGGTGGTATATATAACATTTCACCATGCTTAAGTATACTATAATAACCATGAGCATTTTTAAATTTAGGAAATTTATTAAAATCAATATTATTATCTAAATCTATTCTAGATGTATTACATAACATATTATCAAAATATGGATATAAATTATTTGTTTCTAATGATGAATATAATATAATTAATTTATAACCATTAATTTGTGTTAATAAATTAGCTCGATCATTATCATGATGTAATGGGGATATTGTATTTTTTGGACCAAACCATATATTAGTTTCTATGGTATTTATATCATTATTATTTATTTGTTCATTTTCCCCAGTTACATAACAATAATCTGGTATATATATATCATTTTCTAATTCTGGTATTTGTTTAAATATATCATATTGTGCTAAATAACCTATTTTGATTGTATTTTCATTATGATTATTATTGATTATTGATGGATTAAAATAATAATTAATAAAATCATTAATTGTCATTAATTTTTGTCCCCAATTCTCTTCTGTATATTTTTTACCAATTTCTATAGGTACTAAACGATAACCATAATTAATTAACCAATAATTTAATGTCCATTTACATTTATTATTTATATGATTATTATTATTATTATTATTATTATTATATGCTGGCCAAAAATTTATTGCATTTGTTATAATAAATGGTTTATTTAATTTAATTAAATGATTAAATAATTCAATACTTGGACAATTAATACGATCTAACTTATTCAGATTGATTTTGATCTCTTCATTGATCTGAATGAATCGATCTATATTATCATGATCATTATCATTATGATCATGATTATCTAATTGAAATAATCTAGATGATAAATAATCTTCATTACATAATTTTGTTTTCATCATAATTATATGATGTAATTTTGAAGCTAATTTTGATGCGAATTGATTAAATATTGGATAACCCATAATTAAACTAAGATCTAATTCTTTAATTAATTCTATAAAAGGATGATAAGAATTATGATGATCATGATGATGATCATGATTATGATCAAGATCAAGATCAAGGTGGTAAGAATTAGGATCATCATCATCAACATGATTATTAAATTCATTACTTTTATATAAATAATATAATACAATTAATAATTTAATAGATGAATATAATATACGCCAACAAATATGAACATTTTTCCAATGACCAGTATGTAATTTTTCCCATATATATTGTAATATATAATTTGTATGAATCTTGAATTCATTTAATGACATTTCAGTAGTATTATAAATTTTTAATAATTTTTTATAATCTCTTAATAGTATAACACCATATTCTAATTTATATGATTCTATAAGTTGTTCAAAATCTTGTAGAGATGGAGCATTTTGATCTAAATATTTCCGGATTAACATCTATGATTAAAAGAGTACATATATATATATATATATATATATATATATATATATATATATATATATATATATATAGATGATGTAGAAAGTAACAACAACAAGAAAAGGTCAAAAGTTATTACTATGGAACTGAGTGATTCGGTTTCCTAAAGATTGTAAGTACCCTCTCGATGACGAGTTTCAGTTTGTATGAAACATTTATTTACTTATTTATTTAAACACATAAACATTGGTGTAAGGAGGCATCAAATAGATATGCGAGACAGAAATCATTCGATTTATGTGAGGGCTGGGATATTTCCCGGATGTCCAAACAGAAGTAGATGGTTTTCTTACGGGTAACCACATTCCGAATGTTTTACCTAAAGGTTTCATCCACAAGGCAGTGGAGCAAAGTTAGGAGATGTAGTTTCATGGTAGCCAGTGACAAACAATAGGGTCATACACAATTTTTTCTTTCAGGATACTGGAACTCATGTGCACCATTGGTTTGGAATCAGCGTTTTCCAACTCTCCTAGGTGGATTCTCCATATCCACTGACCCGGTTAAAGCGCCGGATATTCGCTTTTCGTGCTCTCAATTTTGGTAAATAACACCCCCGCCATGAGAAGGCAGTGAGTGGGACTTCCCTGGCTGTAAATATATGCATGCGGCCACGTGAGAGCATTTGGAGAGAGAGAGCTGACTCCCCCCTCACTCTCGGCCGATAACCCCTAGCTAACAACAACACATAATGCATATAAATTTGAGTCACAGACATATTGTTGGTTAAATTGAAACTTGATTGATAGGATTCCGTTGACAATATGGACTGGACACACGTGACATTATGATTAGAGAGTGGTTTTTGTGGATATTATAGTAATTTAACAGTTGAACTCATGAATCAATGGAAGGTAGACCATGATCCCACTGGCGGGTTTTGATCCCAGATTCAGTAGTCTCGAGGTTAAGCGTTCGCGCGCGAGACTGATAGGTCCTGGGTTTGAATCTTGAGAGGCGGGATCGTGGATGCGCACTGCTGAGGAGTCCCAGACTAAGATGAAACAACCGTCCAGTGCTTCCAGGTTTTCCATGTTGATCCAGCTTCATTTGACTCATGAATTCATCTATTAAATAAACACATGACATTAGCCACTAAACATTTAATTAAACATCAAAAGGTATATTTAACACAGAAAGTGACAAGTATCATAATACAAAATACATATACACTAATTTGTAAACATTTTGATAATTACTTAATTAAAAAAACAGTTGTGACAAAATAACAATTGTAATTAATAAAACAATGTAAGTTTAGGAAGAGATATCAACCCCTTTGTTAACAAATATAAATGCGTACCGATTTAATTAAACACATCCTATGTTATCATCTTCAGAGGGAATCGAGCTTTAAAACGATTGATGATAATTATTATATAACCATTAAGTCTGAATATTTCAATATAACTCAATTCAATAACTATGTAGACTATGTGCCATGACCTGATTTATCCAAATGTGATGTATATTCTCAGACTACTTCTTTTATACCAGTTAGCCTTACTAACCTATTTACCACTCTCTGTATTTCCCTTCCAAAGGCCAGATCGTTCACTAACTGATAGTGTAGTAAATGAGAATACAAGTGGGGACAACCAAATGTACTTGAATACAAAACTACAGAATCAAACAGTAAATACTTCATTTGCAAAATGTCCATCAATTATCTCAGACTTTATTGTTCCTTCATTTCCATACCAATCACTTTCTGCTTTCGTTCTCTTCTCTTCGATCTTCTCAACTTTGATTGTATAATTACCAAAAACATCTTACATATAAAGCCGATATAGAACCATCACGAAATATAACGAGTATTTTGAATCACAAAGATAAAGTTATTTTCAGTCAAAACAAACTATTTGCGGACTAAATACTAAGTCTTTATTTCATGTAATGAAAAAGTTGAAAGAACTTAATTATAACTACTTGAAGGTCAGTATATAGGATTTTCAATGGGGAATATTTTATGCTAATTTAAGAGGGATAAACAGTGAGAATATTTCTGTTATCGCTCACAAACTCCATATCAAAGTATTTCGGGCGAGTACCAAAGAAGTACATTAACCTTATACAGGCTCTCTACTAGAACACAACTGGTCGAGTGAGAGCTTATGGCGAACTGTCATCAGAATCGATTACCTCAAGTGATGTTCGTCAGGGCTGTCTACTCTCTCCATTCTTGTTTAACTTTGTCGTTGACATGGTTTTAGAAATAACACTTTTCTCATCTAAATTTCCAGGAGTTGAACTTTTACCGGGAGATTCACTTGATGACTTAGAATATGCCGATGAAATGGTTCTATTTGGTGAAGACGCTGACAAGATGCAGTCTTCTGACCACTATGGGGAATGAAGTAGTTCGGTGTGTCGACCGCTTCACTTATATTGGGAGTCTCGCCAGCCCCTATGGTTTGGTGTGACGAAATCTCACCACGGATATAGAATGCTCGACTAGCTTTTGCCAATTTGCGTCATTTATGGAGTAGACGAGATATCTGTTTACCAACTAAAGGACTAATTTACTGCGCAGCAGTTCGTTCCATTCTATTTTATGGCTGTGAAACATGGTCGGTAAGAGTAGAGGATATTTGTAGGTTACTAGTATTTGATCATAGATGTCTTCGAAACATCGCTCGTATATCCTGGGACCACCGATTAAGTAATGCAGTTGTTAGGAAGCGAGTACTAGATAAGGATGGTAAATCGATTGATGAAGTAGTAAAACTTCATCAGTTAAGATGGCTGTTACGTATGCCCAACCACCAACTGCCCCGATGTGCGATGATTTATGGTGTTGGAGTAGGTTGGAAGAAAGCTAGGGGCGGTCAAACCAAAAATGGCACAAATCTATGAAATCACTGACAAGTGTTCTGAGTCATGTTGGTAGATGTAGACTACCTGATTGGGATCCGCGAGACGATAACAACCGATGGTTAGAGACCTTAAATGACATGACTCAAAATCATTTGTAATTGTGTGCGCAGGTGCATCGACTCCTTGTGTTCTCCCTAATTCTAATCTTCTGAATTCTTCGTATCCCTTTTTTTCTCATTGCAAACTTATTTCACTGGACTATACTCCTTGAATAACATCTGCAAACCCTAATTTATGCGATTACTGTCTACACTTTTACTACCTCTACCACTATAGGATTGAAATCGGCAATTATAATGTGGTATGGCAACTCGAACTGATGTACGTACGTACGAAGTTCTACGTAGTTACTGACTGACTAGGCGAGAACACCAGGTTTTTGACCATCCCTCTTCTCCGCATATTAGGCATCAAAATACAGCAATTATTTTTTGTATGTACAGATACACACGACCCTGTGTTCTCAAGAAGCCTGGTCTATATTATTGTGTACAAAGCAATGATTATATCTATAAACACATTTTCATGCGTTGCAAAATCCTTACCGTATTTCTACATTTCTATAAAAAGTCAAATATTCGGAGTTGTAATATATTGATATGAATGTTATAAGCAATATAACGATATGTATTAATTCATGATAAATAATTCAATCCTTCCTTTAAAGTACTGGTTGAGCTGATTAATCTTAATTCAACTATAAGTCACAACAAGAGACCATAGATTACTGACGTTAAGTTTCAGTTAAATTTTATGGGAAAGTAGAGTCATTAAGACGGTCTTCCACACATAAAAATATACCCACAAGGTTTTACAAAACTCTATCAAAATAAAAACTAGAAATCCCTACATAGGTTTCAAACCCGTGTTTAAGGGCTACTTGGATCTCTTGGAATTTATTTATTTATTTGAACACATAAATATTGGTACAGGGGGGCACCAAATATATATGCGCCACACAAAACAATGATAATTTGAAGAGGAGGAGAAAAGAGAAAAAAAAAGTAATGAACGTGGGGAATTATAAAAAGAGAGAGAGAGAACAATGGTGGGGGAAACGGAAAGGTACAATCAGAAGAGATCTTTCAGTTAAGGAAGATACAACCACTTTTTATGAAGAAAGTAAAAGAAGGTTACAGCAGGATCGCCACTGGCTTCTATTCTGAGCCATATCTGATAACGTCTCTAGCCACTGCGTTACACCGTCTCTCGGACCCCAACCAGGGAGTCGTGAAGGACCAACAGAAGCTAGCCCTTTGCAGCTTCCTTTCATACCACGACACCATGTCATATACTGACCACCTCTCCGCTTTTTCCAACCAGTCCCAGAGTCGGCAAATAATGCACGACGTGGAATTCTCTGGGACGACATTCGTAGAACATGTCCAAGCCACCAAAGTCGGTGTTTCAAGATGGTGACACCAATTTCATTATCGTCTCTGTGACCGAACACTCGATGCCGAACCTCTGCATTACTGACATGGTGTTGCCACTGGATGCCAGCAATCCTTCGGAGACAACGATGATCGAACACAGAGAGTCGTCTAACATCCTCAACTCGGAGAGGCCAGGTTTCACAAACATAGAGCAAAACTGCTCTCACCGTCGCGTTGTAGATCCGACCTTTTACAGCCAGACTAACATCACGAAGGCGCCAAAGATGGCCTAGATTGGCATAAGCCACTTTGGCTTTCACTATACGTGCATTGATCTCATCACTCACACCACCGCCAGCACTTATGCAGCTACCTAGATACACGAACTTCTCGACTACTTCTATCTGCTCACCATCCAGAGTGAGTACATGATTAGAATCCTGCCAGTCTTGTAGAAGTACTTTGCACTTCGAAGGTGCAAAGCACATACCATACCTACGGACACTGATTGCCAACTGATTAAGTGCGGATTGCATAGCTTGGGCATTCTCGCACAGTAAGACAATATCATCCGCATACTCAAGGTCGAGAAGTCTTTCTCTAGGCAACAGATCCACACCACCATTACTTACATCCGCCAGAGCTGTTTCCAGAATGTCATCGATGGCAAAGTTGAAGAAGAATGGTGAGATTGGGCAACCCTGCCTAACCCCACTGCTCGAATGCAATAGTGGAGAAAGGTGGTTGTATGCCCTCACTCTGCCTGAGGTGTTTGTGTATAGGGCTTTAAGGATGTTAATAAACTTCTCAGGCACACCCTTCTTCAATAGACAATGCCAGAGAACAGTTCTGTCCAACGAATCGAAGGCAGCCCTGATATCAAGAAACACTACGATTGTTGGCCTTTGATGAGTATGGCGGTGTTCTAACACTTGGCGGAGGGTGAAGATATGATCAATACATCCTCGACCGGAACGAAACCCAGCCTGCTCCTCGCGAGTCAATCCTTCTCGGGTTCTGAACAACGTACGAAGTATGACGGAAGCCAATAGCTTGGACGCAATCGGAAGTAGACTTATCCCCCGATAGTTGTTACAGGAACGACGTGAACCTTTTTAAAGATAGGGACAACTATCGACTCATTCCATGACGTCGGTACACTCTCTAGTTCCTAGACCTTTGTAAACAACGTCGTCAGTCCCTTAGTCAGAAAGTCACCACCATCTTTAAAAAGAGCCGGAGGTAAGTCGTCTGGGCCCGGTGATTTGTAACGTTTCAAGAGTTGGAGTTCCTTGCGGACTTCCGCCTCATTTGGTGGGTCAGTCGTCACCGGTCATGGAGGGCAGGACAGTCTGACCGATGTTGCCCGAGCAGCAGGCCAGTTGAACTGCCCTTCAAAGAATTCTGCCCATCGTCCAAGACGTTGATGGATGATAGTGATTGGCGTTCTGTCATCCTCGCAGATTGTTTCACTCACACCAGACTTCTCGCTGCCAGTGGCTCGGATGAGTTGGAAGAGCTTCCGGTAATTACCAGATGCAGCTGCTGCTTCCAACTCACTGGCACGCTCC